AATTAATACATGGAAATAAGTCTGACTACAACTTACAGTACATGATATTCATTCTTTGGCCTATCTACTCCTCCTGAAGGGAGTCCTACTCATTCTGTCCTTCAGTTTACAGTTCTGATTGTCTAGTTTCTCACTGGCGTGTCCCGACAAGAGGCAAGTACTCACATGAACAATATAGAAGACACAGAGTGGCTGCGATGGCTGGTCCCTTCATGGTCGGCACTGTCACAGAGTTCGGTAGCAACAACTACGCCCAAAGTCCTCTCTAGCTTCGCCTTTTCTGCACTCGCGTCTGGGGCTTTTATATGTTTCTATGCGACGCTCGAGTACTACCCACGCGTGGAAACGCCCTAGAATAGTCTTTTCCCATTGGCGTTCGTCTCTTGCCGTTTCATCACTTTCCCATATATGGGCACTGGTGTACGTGCGTAATTCTCTAACTGATGCATCATAAAATGGCTGACTACCGGATACCGCACACTCGTGAGTCTGATCTCATTCAACTTCCGGTTCATCATCCTGTGACTGTTCTTTCCCTTTCTGTTACAAATGAACTAAAATTAATGATAATACAAAATATATCTGGCATCTAGTGCCGTGGCACAACAGCACCTTTCTTCCTAATGACTTTAGGTGGAAAGTGTGCTATTTGCAACATACATTTATCGGTGCCTTGATGTCCCAATAAAGTATGTGCATACCGAATCACTCGGTCTTCTAGTTGTCTGGGTAACATAATTCTCCAATAGGGATGGCTCCTGTCATTTTTGCAGAACAGGATCTTGTCTCTTACCATGTACCTGCCCGAAAATTTCTCTGGGTCGCTCTCCAGTTCTTCCCCGTAATTTATTTAAAGCGGGATCACCGAGTTGGTGTTCCGACAGATTGCCTAATTCTTTCATGTGTGTTCTGTCAGTTCCCAGGTCTACAATTGCCACGAATAACTCTTTAGGCTTCAACACTTGGTCGCGGCTCACTTGGCTTAACCCAATGGGGTTGCGGCTCAGCATGTCTGCAAAGAAGTTATCGCTGCCTTTAATGTGTACAATCTTCAACTCGTACTCCTGCAGCTGCATTACCCAGCGTGTGACTCGGCTAGATGTCAAATTACACCGCTTCAGAAACGATAATGCTTTATTATCGGAATATACAGTGATGGAGTGACCAATCACATATATTCTGAACTTCTGAAGCGCATAGACTACTGCAAGCAGCTCCTGTTCACAGGTGAAGTACCTCCGTTCTACGGGGCTCAGCACTCTGGATGCGGTGGACACTACCAACGTCTCACCGGAGTCGCTTTCCTGGTTTAGTATTGAACTTATCCCCAGCTTGCTGGCGTCAGTGTAAATTGCATTCGGTGCGTCATCACGTGGATGGACCAGGTGAATGCTGCGCGCAAAACTCTGCCGCAGGCGCAGGAATGCATCCCGTGCTTCATCTGTCCACGTCCACTTCACACCTTGCTTCAATAGAGGCGTTAGCGGTACGACGTAATTTGCATAGCCTATGATGAATCTGCTATGAAAATTACAGGTTCCGAGAAACTGCCTCAGCTGTTTACTGTTTCCCGGTGCTGGATAGTTGAGGATGGACTGTACCCTATCCGGGTCAGCGGATACACCGGTCCTATCTATACGGTGTCCCAAAAACCTAACCTCGTCTTTGCAGAAGCGACACTTTTTGGCGTTGATCGTGAAGCCTGCCTTCGTTAATTTATCGAGTACGGTATCAAGATGCCTTAGGTGATCTTTTATGGTAGGGGAATGTATCAAGATGTCCTCAACGTAGGATACCACGTTCTCCAGATCCGTTCCCAGCGTTACCTTTATGGCACGTACGAATGCGGGTAATGAATTTCTGAACCCATATGGAACTCTTTTGTACTGATACACGGTGGATTCGGACGTAAAGGCCGTGTATTTTCTAGAGTCCTCATGTAGCTCTACCTGTGAATAAGTTGAACTCAGGTCAAGGGACGTGAAATATTTTGCCCCATGGAATCTTTGTAAGAGCTCATTCATGGGTGGGGTCCTCTCATGGTCTGGGATGGTGACTTCATTCACCCTCCGGGCATCAACACATATGCGTATGTCTCCTCCTTCTTTACTTACCACGGTTAATGGGTTGAGAATCGGGGAATTGCTATACTCAATAATGTCGTCGACTAGCATCTGCCGGATTTGTTCTCTAACAGCTGGTCGGAGGGCAAACGGAATTGGCCTCGAATGACCTACTATTGGGCGGTCGGTATCTACCTGGAATTTGTAGATGAAAAGCTTGCACTTCCCAGGTCGCGTTGTCATGTGCTCTCTATACCGGAATAGAACCTGGTATAGATCACTTCGTTCAGCTGTGGACAAATCAGTCACTTGCTCTACTAAGGAGTGTAGATCGGCTGCTTGTAATGACCGGGGGTCTGGGAAACTGGGTTTTGGGTTGGGGATGGGTTGGCCATGTGGCAGGGCTGTCTCTACTGAGTTGACTTCTAACTCATAAGTAGGGCTGGCATTCAGACTAGCAGGAACTCTGCTGCGGGGGCTACTTATGCAAGCTGCCTCACTCGCTAGAACACACTCCATTGGGGCACAACTGATCGCGCATTGCGTCAGGGTCCGGGAACTCCTTGTTCCTGTCTGGGTTTAGTGGTCCTTTGTCGATCCAAAGACCGAGTCTAGCGCCGTTGGTCGCCACTCTGCCGCATGCGGTGGGGTGAGGTAGGGATCCATTGCAGTAGTCAGCTGCTCTGGAATGGGGAGGGGGGTCTGCACAGTCAGCTGTTTGGGGGTTGGGTCGCTGACCTGCTAACTTGGATAGAATGTTGGAAGATTCTTTTAACTCTCCACTGTCATTATTGCAAGCGCCTTGCGATGCTGCCCTAGTGGCAAATGTTCACTCTCTTGTTCCGTTACGGACATACGTGAGCTTTCCTGTGTTGAAGTCGATGATAACTCCATGCTCCTTCAAGAATTGACAACCGAAAATGGCGTCATTATTCAACTGAGGTGAAACTAGAAAGATGGTCTCCAACACATCTTGGCCTTCGAAAATTCGAGTAGGGCCTGCCATCGTATCCGCTTGGATCGCCTGCCGAACGCTGTTACGAGAACCACTCCTTCAACTGGTAGGGTAGGAACTTTTACACCTGTTTCAGTTAGCTCATAAATTCGTTCTGATAGGAGATTAACCTCACTGCCAGAATCTAGAATAGCTGTGAATTTAATTTTGTTCAACACTTGAACTTCGACCTGAGGACTGTTTGCTAAATTGGCCTCATTGATGAACAGTACTACACCACCCGTAGTCACCTGCTCTGAGTAGCTATCTTGAGTTTCAGAGTTAGACTCGCCTTCACAACTGGGTTCGCCTGCCATTTGGGATGCCTTGAGCGGACCTAGAATTACGTGGGATCTCACAACGGGAGCCATCCGGTCCTCAATAACTCCAGTTATCGGTTTCCCGAATGGCTATCGCTGTGATTGTTTTGCTCTTGTCGCCCCTGGTACGGGGTTGCATGGGAGTTAAGAGGGCCGGAGCTTCCCTTTGGGGGTTCTCCGCCTCTCTCTGACTGGTAATTACGGCGATTACGTCTCCGGTTCCGATTCGAACGGTTCCGTGACGGAAAGAATTGCACCTGGCGCACATGAGCCTGGTTTTGGCCTCTGGGCTCACTTCTGTTAGGATTGCTCGCTGCCCTGTTAGGGTTCGAATTGTGGGGTTGCACGGGAGGTCTCGGATAATTCTCGGACTGTTCCATCAGCTCCACTCTTGAGAAGATCCAGGGCTTGCTCAATGGTTTGCATCTGGTTGGTAAGCATGGCTCGATGCACCCCTATCGGATAGTGGGCCCTGATCGCTTCTATCAGCTCCCCATCCGAAGG